TCGGAAGAGGTGTATGTATAGAAAGATTACCTGGTCATGGCCAAAGTCGAACCAGACCTGGAAAGCCTCAGGCCAAACCGTCGTCTCCCTCGAAATCTCCCAAACCGAAGCCCCCAATTCAAACACTGAGTACACCGCCACGATCGCGTTCGCTACCAACACGAATCTGCCAAAATTCATTCATTTTCCTCAATGCCTTTTGTTTCTCTACGAATTTTCGGATTTAATTTCTTCCTCGTGATTTTTTAATCCAGAATTCGAACGATTCGTTACCTCATGGGCGGTCCTACATTTTCTTGGCAGCCAAACAGCCCAAATCCAGAGGAAAAGAAACGAATGTAGAATGTAAACAAACATTTTCCCCACAAATTCTCATCGAATCGCAGATTTGATTTCTCTGTCATTAACTTTTCTTTTTAATCTAAATCGAACCGTTCAGTTTCGGGTCGAGCATTTTCTCGGCAGCCAAACAGCCAAACTGATTTTCGTCGATTCTCTTTTTCTCTTCTGAATTCCAGATTCGCTATCAGCGCTCGTGAATTTTCATTTTCAAAATCGTACTATTTTGCTACCAGTCCGACATTTTCTCGGCAGCCGAACAGGCCAAATCGAGGGGTAAAGCACAAAAAAAAAGGAGAGGAGAAACGGAGAAATCATTGGCGCACCTGAAAGCGTCGAAGTCGTACCAGTGAGGCGAGCCGTCTCCGCGGGAATTGGTGAGCATGAAGACGGCGGAGGCGAGGGAGAAGGAGAAGGAGGCGAGGCGGAGGAGGAGGATCAGCGAGTTGAACCGCCGGAGCTTCTTAGCGGCGACTGTGGAATGGAAGTGAGTCTGCGGTGGCCGATGATGGTTGTGGTGGTGCGGAGACGGAGACTCGCCGTTGCGGTGACCCTGCGGTGAGCGCATGGCGGATTAGATCGGAGGAGGCTACCTTTTCTGGAGGCGACGGAGGAGGCGAGACTCATAAGATTTCCCGCTGTTTTGACGAGCTTCGCTTGAACTCACGAGGCATCAGAGAGAGAGAGAGATGTGATAAGAGGAGGGAAAGTTGCAGCAAAAGAGAGAAAAAGAAAAGAAAGTGAAAGAGGAAAAAGATGGACGGAATTCATATGATATGTTGTCGCATTTAATTTAATGATTTTACTATTAAATTATTATATATATATATATATTTTTTTTTTTATTTTTCTACCGAATCGTTTTTCTTTTGTAAATAACGAGACAGTCGAGACTTACCATTACTAGTAGTGAACGCAAAACAGACATTAAAGTCGCATCTTACGTTTTCATGAACTTTATGCTTTTATATTTGCCAATTAATAATGTATTAACCTTAATTTACTTACAAAATCCTCAATAATATATATCTCATTACCTAAACAACGCATTAAAAAATAACTCACCCATTAACAACTAGAAGCATGTTCAAGTAATTGATGCTTAGGAAAAACGAACAGCTACTAATTTGATGTTTCGTTTTACTCGTAACTAAAATGAATCTAATATAATAAAAATCGATTACAAATAATTTTTATTAGATCAAATTAATTTAACATGAAAATAAAGAATAATAATTTATTTTAGAAAAGAATTTTTTTAAATAAAACTCGATATCAAAATCGAATAATTATAATTTGTGAAAACTAAAAAGGTCAAACCAAACGATAACCGAACATAAAACTCGTCAAATCTAATAACTCAGACACAACAAAACTCTACTCGTCGGCAGGTGATTAGCCTGAACGTGGTCCACAGGTTTTGGAACCTTCTTAAGTATTCCCTAATTATTGAAAAAGAAAAAAAAGCATCTTTTACATTAATTATAATATATATATATATATATGTATATATATATATATATAAGATCCCAAATGGATTAGGTACTATAAACAATATAAAATATTCATAAATTATTTTTAAAAATTCGATGCCCTACTGGCATTTCATCAAAGCATATCATATTACCACATCGTTTTCCGAATAATTTCTCGTATATTTATAACATAATATTCAAAAAAAATCCTACGTAGAAGAGAAAAAGGACCAGATAATTGCACTTGTATAATAGGGAAAAAAATAAGAAAACGAAATAACCAGAACAAACCGAACCAGTATACAAAACCACGGTTAATCAGAGTTTCCACCGGTTTAGTGTCGGTCCACTTACTTATTTTGGTAACCCTTTTGCAAATTGATTTTTGTGACTGACTATAACCTATACGGCATTTGCAATTAAAATCTCCAACTCATTCAATAGTGTAACAATTGAAAGCATACAAGATATGATATACTAACCGAAATAACCGGAACAAACCGAACCAGTATACTAAACCACAGTTGACCATAGTTTCAACCTGGTTTAGTTCCGGTCTTATTTTGGTAACCCTTTTGCAATTTGATTTCTGTGGCTATAACCTATAAAGCATTGGCAACTAAAAACTCCAACTCATTGAATAGTGTAACAATTGAAAGCATACAAGATATGATATACTAACCGAAATAACTGGAACCAACCGAACCAATATACTAAACCACGGTAAACCAGAGTTTCAACCTGGTTTAGTTCCGGTCCTCTTATTTTGGTAACCCTTTTGCAACTTGATTTCTGTGACTATATAAGCTATAAAGCATTGGCAACTAAAAAGCTCCAACTCATTGAATAGTGTACCAATTGAAAGCTATACAACATATGATACACTAACCATTGTCACAGCATCTCTTGAGATCTCCTGACACAGCGGCTGACTTTCCTGTTGAACTCAGCTCGGTTCTCTCTCCACTCCTTTGCGGCTTCCAAGTTAGCTGCAGACTCATCATTCGGACTCGAGAGCATAGATATAATACTTAGTATAATGCTTTCCACCTGCAAAAACCCAGATCCAACCATTGTATTTTTATGGGAGCTTTCAATTGAAATGGCTCGGATATGATATACCGAAACCCCATGAACGACATTTTCATGATAGCATAAGCAGAAGTTGACAATAACCATGGAGGAGATGGTTCGCAGCACAAAAATCCGAAGGTACTTCATAATATTCAAGGATAACCTTCTGAGCATTCTCACCAGATATCATCCTAAAGGACAGGCTAACAGATAATACCGACTAACCAATTCGAAAGCACAAGAAGAGCAACACTAATGGACAGGCTAAAACCTCAAAAGCATATGAAACCAGCCTTAATGAGAAAATGCCATATGAACAAGAATGAATGGAATGAAACAGAGTACCGTGTGGACAGGAGTCCAGCGCTCTGATGCGAGCTCATAACCGTTAGGATCGTCCCCGGGAGGATGAAGAATCGAAATGCAAACCCTTCCATCAGGATAAACTGCAAGCAGCCTTTAGAATTCCCATCTGATTACCCACAAAGCAAGGAAATACATTCTCAGGATCAACACTCACCATTTGGATGCCACATCTCTGAGGTAAACTCCACAGTTGGCGGACTAAGCGGATAATTTTCCGGAAACTTCATAAGGGCACTAAAAAACCCCCCTTCACTGCAACCAGAGTATAAAGATTCAATCTTTATGAGGAGAAAGATCAGAAACCATAACACAAGAAATCGAAAAACAAAGAATCAGTTATAAACACCAATCAAATAGTACATAAGAATCGATTAGGTAATGAACACGCTACTCATTTGAAGGATACAGATTAGACACAGCGTAAGGGTATCAAACGAATTAAGGAATCCAGAATTTTAGAGCATACGACATCAAAAAATGGAAGCCAAGCACATTCAACTAGTGATTAAGGGAAACAGGAGAATTCGGACAGAGACAAAGAGACACTCACTACAAAGTATCAGGAGGTCCCATGATCGATACGCTCCATTGGAAGACATTGTTCTCATCCACCAGCCCCGCCGAGAAACCATCCACCGGCTTCTTGCACAGATCTGAAGACAGCCCAACACACACAAAAAAAAGTCAAATCAAATCGGTCGCAAACAAAAGAAGAATCACGGAATCATCGAATCCAGATCGCGAGAACAAACGAACAAAACCCAAGAAATTTCGACGGCGGACCGGACACGACTCTCAAGATTTCGAGATAACAACAACAAAGAAGAGAGACAGGAGATTACCTTTGAGCTGCCTCTGGAGAAGGAGGCATGCTTGGTTCTTCGCCATGGGAAGAGCTCCTAGTGCTTAGAGAAAGAGAGAGATTTGGGGCGGAGGAGGGAAAGAAAAGTATCTGACCGAGGAGACAATTTTGACGTGAATTTATACAGGGAATTCTCGTTCCCGTTCAAACTTCTCTTGGTGACAAGTTGTAATAACAACAGGTGTATTTTTTTTATGTTATGAAAAGACCACAATAATAAAGTGAGCATAAACTTTGGAAATAATAATTTATATCTCTAGATGAAAATATAGTTTTAAACTTTTTTAACTTATTAAAAATGAAGTTATGAATTAGATAATTCGGCTCAACTTTACAAAATATCCAAACTATCTATTATTTATGCGTATATATTTACGTCTTTATATTAACATGTTCAATGGATTAATTAAGCATTCGAAATTATATGGCAGATTGTGGAACACCTAATAACTTGCCTTTACAAACATGAATTGATTATACTCTTTTCAAAAGAAGAATCACGGAATCATCGAATCCAGATCGCAAACAAAAGAAGAATCACGGAATCATCGAATCCAGATCGCGAGAACAAACGAACAAAACCCAAGAAATTTCGACGGCGGACAGAACAAGACTCTCAAGATTTCGAGATAACAAGAAAGAAGAGAGACAGGAGACTACCTTTGAGCTGTCTCTGGAGAAGGAGGCATGCTTGGTTCTTCGCCATGGGAAGAGCTCCTTGTGCTTATCGATCGATCGATCGAGAGAGAGAGAGAGAGAGAGAGAGAGATTCGGGGCGGAAGAGGGAAAGAAAAGTATCTGACCGAGGAGACAATTTTGACGTGCATTTATACAGGGAATTCTCGTTCCCGTTCAAACTTCTCTTGGTGACAAGTTGTAATAACAACAGGTGTATTTTTTTTTTATGTTATGAAAAGACCACAATAATAAAGTGAGCATAAACTTTGGAAATACATCTACAAAAATGAAATAATAATTTATATCTCTAGATGAAAATATAGTTTTAAACTTTTTTAACTTTATTAAAAATGAAGTTATGAATTAGATAATTCGGCTCAACTTTACAAAATATCCAAACTATCTATTATTTATGCGTATATATTTACGTCTTTATATTAACATGTTCAATGGATTAATTAAGCATTCGAAATTATATGGCAGATTGTGGAACACCTAATAACTTGCCTTTACAAACATGAATTGATTATACTCTTTTCAAATTTTTATTAAGAAATCATAGATTAAACCATCACCTTTGTATTGTGTTCGAACTCTTGGCCAAAGTGTTTTCCGTATTGCAATAAAATATTATCCCTTCAACTCATTAATTTAATCTATTATTTTTTTTAAAAAAAAGACCACCACCCTTATAAGACCATGACCATTATATCAAAAATATCTTTAATTTACTATTCCTAATTTAACATATATCATTTTTCTAATGGTGATTATATGATTCATATCATCCAAAATATAGTGTGGTCATATTTTAATTTTATTGATTATAATATTAAATTTATAGTGATCTCACTCATTCATTATGTTCATATATTATATATCTTACTAATTATTTAATTAAAATATCATAAATTTAACGTTATAAGCAATTAAATCAACATGTGACCATACTATATTATGGATTACATAAATCATATGATCACAACCGGATAAACGTACTTGTTGAAGTAAAAATAGCATAATAAAATTATTTTTATAATGGCCCTGTGATTTATATTTATCGGATTGATTGAAAATAGCACTAATAAAAAAAAAGGAGATGCGGTCACTTATGTAAACGTGTATGTATATGAGATATATTTTTATTTATATTGAAAAAATATTTATTCACCATTTCATTTATATTGTAATCATTAATTCCATCACTTCCATAACTTGTTATATATATATATATATATATGAAAGAATATGTATAGAATATTATATTAATAAATAATGGAAAAATAATTGGATCTAACGATTTGATTTGAAGCTTCTTGAAAATACAAACTTTTATTGATTAATTTGAGTCATAATGTTACAACGTAATAAATATTGTACTAATTTTTTTAATTTCCTCACACACATTGGGATTTTTATTAGGATTGTTATTTATCTAAAGGTGATTCGTATTTTTCTTTTTGTGCTCATTAATAAATATCCGTTTTTTCCCCTCTCGTCCCAAAATACCCAAACAAGGGAAAAGAGAAGAAAGAGAGGAGGAAAGGGAAGAGACAAAGAACTTGGATTTGGTCTGTTGAGTAGCTCTCCTGTCTCTGTTAAACCCTTTTTTTCCCCTTATCAATCTCACCAGCTTTGGTTTAAATCTATTTTGGTATTTTGCTGTTCACTCCTTTAAACCCACAAAGGTTCTGGCTTTTGAATGTGAGATTGGTTTTCTGTGGGTGTCCGATGCAGCGGCCGGCAATGGCGTTCGAGGTATGATTCATGGCTCCTCCTTTTTTTAGGCTTCTTCCGGTGATTTAAGGCTCTGATTACTCCGAAAGTTGCATCAGCATGTGCTATTTTAGGAACGCAGGGATGGGTTTCGTGGATAATGTTGATTTCATATGGAATCTGGTGTTTATTGTTTGTGGGTTTATCACGAAATAAGCTTTGTTTTCACTCTTATGGGTTTTGCTGGGTCAGGGATAAACTCGTCGTAGATGTGAATTTGGGGAAGGAGAAGTAGGAAAGATGAGATCTTTGAGCAGTGTGGGGCTTGGTCTGAGCGTAGTGTTTGGCTGCTTGTTAGTGGCTCTTCTTGCTGAGCTCTACTACTTGCTATGGTGCAAGAAGAGATTCGCAAGACCAGGAGTGAGCAATGACTATTCTAACCCCGCTGCAACCAGCGAGCTTGTCTTCATCCTCTGTTGCAGAAGAAAGCTTTGTCCTTCTTCTCGCTCCCCTTGTGTCTTAAACCCTAAACCCACTCAGAACCATCTCCAAGAAGCACGAGAACAAGGTTCTGCAGATCGATTCGGAGACCACAGCAATGATGGTGGCGTTGAGAGTGTTCATGGGTTTGGCAATGTGGTGGGTCCAGGGCTTATGCCGAGGTTCTTATTCACAATCATGGAGGAAACAAAGGAGGATTTGGAAATGGAATCTGAAGATGGAAAGTCGATGGCAGAGATGAGTTTGGGCGATTTGTTTCTAAATATGGAAAGTGGTGCCACTCCATATCTCACTCCTCTCGCTTCTCCTTCACTCTTCACCCCTCCTCTCACTCCACTGAGAGATTCTTGTCATGGGGATAGAAATAAGATCAGAAAAGAAGGGCTTTACACATTCTTGGAATCGTCGGCTGATGCTGAATTTAACAAGCTCGTAAGATCATCATCGTCGTCGTCACCATCATCATCATCATTTTTATCACCATCAGCATCGCCTCTACCGAGATTCAAGTTCATGCGAGATGCGGAGGAGAAGCTTTATATGAGGAGGTTTGATGGAAATGGCAGAAACTGAGAGGTCAAAACGTCAATCTGTAATGACAAAAGATTGGCCTCAAGATCATCAATCAAGTTCAGACAAACAAAATCAAGCAAGCAAGCAAGCAGATGTCTGCAAAGTGTTTTCCTTCAGCTTCTTCACCAACAACAGAGACAAGAATGCAGAGCCTTGGTGTTTCATCCCGTTTGAACACATTCAAGGTTGTCTCTCTCTCTCTCTCTCACTCATCTCTCTCTCTCTATATATATATATGAAGCTTAAACTATTTGGTTTGTAAATTTGGTTTAAGTTTCATCAAGGTGTGAATGCAAGGTGCTAGAATGGTATTTGTTCTTTTAACTTAATGTGGTTGCTATTCTTAAAAATTCCAATAGAGACTTGAAAGCAACAATGCTCAATGGAATATAATATGAAATCAAATAATAATCCCCAGCAAGACTTGATGATATTCCATATAAAAAAGCTTAAATTACACCATCTCGGTAGGTTATGTAAATTGCCATTTTAAATTTGGCACAACACCACATGCATGCCTCCTAATTATAATATGCTTTCAGGGATTAAAAATAAAAAAACGATAATAATAATAATAATAACAATACACCCGAATTCTTACATAACCATTTGAAAATGTAAAACATATTAGATTTCAGGATCGAGATTTCACATTCAGGAAATTATTTTTTTTTAAAAGAGAAAAATGTAATTTTGTTTAGAAAAAATCTCACATAAATACCCAATTTTAAAAAAATATACCAAATAAATACCTACACTTTTAGTTTGATCTAATTTGATATTTAAAATGTAAAAATGTTATAAATTAATATTTCAAATGTTGAAATATTTTAAATTAATACTCCAACGACGAAATCAACAATAATTTACAATCTCGATTTGTTTTTTATTTTGAAAATTACTCTTTCCATTTCTTAATAGTTGATATCATAGACAATATTTTTTGTACTAAATTTATATCATTTTAGATTTTTTAGATAATTTTTTGAAATAGTTTCCAATTTTACCATTAATTTAAACTATTCAATTTCAATAAATTATTAATAAAAATGTTAAAACGTCAATTATTAAAAAAATACAAAGAATGATATCTAATTTATATATTGTTAGGATTGACAATAAAAATGACTATAGATTTGATGAGTTGAGATATTCATTTAAAATATTTTAATATTTAAAATATTAATTTGAAATATTTTAACATTTAAGATATTACTTATATCAAATTAAAAAAAATTGACATATTTTATACAATCGAGATAGATATATGCGATTTTGACTTTTGTTTAAAATGTGTTTAAAATTGAGGTAGATAGCACTCACTCGAGAGGGGTATGTGGGGAATCTCTCTTCCCAAAACCTTTAACTCACTGTCTACTTTCTTTCTCTTTAGTGTCCGAATCTGTAGTTCCTGTCCGAATCTTCTGTTCCACGTGCTGTTATGAACAACGATTTGCATTTACTAAATTATTTAGCAAAATAGAAAAGAAAAAAATCTACTCCAATAAATATATACAAACCAGAATTCAGCCAAAAAATCAAATCAAAAGAAATCGTATGGATTGGTACTAAACCCAATTATACTAGCAAACCGGTCTGAGAAATCGAACCAAACCACAAATTATATATCAACCGATCGTACTAAACCAGACTATATACACATACACAAACCAAACACAATAAACCAGGTAGGAAAAATATAGATAACCGGCCGGACTAGAATTAAATTGAATAATATCAGTAAACCGGTCTGAGAAATTGAACCAGACCAGAAATTATACCCATATCTTAATATTCTAATACCTAAAGTCAAAGTTGTTGGGTTTTCTGGGATCTCATGAGCGAATCTAATTCCTAAGAGATCGATTCTAGGGTTTGCGCAGCGGATATAAAACAAAAATTTTAATGAAACCCTAGAACCATGCTACTATTGAATCATAAAAACGTTAGAACGCTTACCTCAATCGATCCGGGGCCTGTATCAATTGATCTGTTCGTCCGATCAGTCTAGACAGAAAGAATACCTCGCCCTCTACACGTATCCACATGTCGGGATGGATTCCAACACCTTGGAACTTGTCTGCTAGGACTAGAGATCTCGATCTCTCTTGTGTGCAAGGTTTTTGGAGGCTTAGGGTTTTATTTTTCTTCTTTTTTTCTTCCTTTCTTTCTTTCTTTCTTCTTTTTCTATTCTTCACTTAAAACCCTAGAAGACATTCTCCTTATATAGACTTTCCAAAAATCCTAATTTGACAAGGAATAGATTACTAGGAATCCTAATCTAATTAGGTTTTCTAAACCTATTAGAATTCTAATCTCATTAGGTTTCCTAGATGTAATAGAATTCTAATCTCATTAGGATTCCTATACATAATAGGATTCCTAATCCCATTAGGATTCCTATTCCAATTAGGAATCTCAATCCAATTAGGATTCCTAATCGGGATAATTTAGCACACGTACTTGTCCATCCCTATTGTGTGTGACCCTGTAGGCTCATCCGGAATAGCAGTAAAACGCAGAATCTCCATTCCGATAATACAAGTCATAGGCGGTCTCTAGCAAGACACTATGACTACCTATCTCGAATAGAGTTTGTTTGTGATCATACGAAAGCCAGTGATGATTCCGACTGATGATCCTTTTGTATCGCGATATCATATGTCGAACATAAGGCATGGACAAGCCACCTTATCTGATTCGACTGCTTTCTCGTTCACTGAGTTCGACTGTCTGAAATAGACGACGTTCGTCTATAGTGCGGCCACACATTTCTACAGTCTTGCTCACACGAGGGGCCCAACGATATCTCTCTCTTTTACGAGAGGTACAAATCCCGTATTGACTATCTACAATCCAGTACATGATTCGTTTCGTACCTGATACACGCCTTTATAGTCCTCCTGTTACGCAGGACGTTTGACGTAATCAAAGCACGCAACTCCTCATGTTGGATTCTGTAGATATCTCAGGTCTTAGGATCCAATCATAGAATCGTCGTATGAGATTCAAGTCATGACGCTAGTCCATGTGACAATCTCATGCGGGTCAGTCCAGTATTCCGTTCTGCAACGAATACCTATGATTGTGATCGTATCCAATACCTATGATCATCTATGAATGATACTAAACTCCCTAGTCTTATGTCGTTATGGGAATAACGACATAATAAGACTAGTATGATGTGTGATTGATGATCACATAGATGATCATAGGTATTGGATACGATCACAATCATAGGTATTCGTTGCAGAACGGAATACTGGACTGACCCGCATGAGATTGTCACATGGACTAGCGTCATGACTTGAATCTCAAACGACGATTCCATGATTGGATCCTAAGACCTGAGATATCTACAGAATCCAACATGAGAAGTTGCGTGCTTTGATTACGTCAAACATCCTGCGTAACAGGAGGACTATAAAGGCATGTATCAGGTACGAAACGAATCATGTACTGAATTGTAGATAGTCAAGACGGGATTTGTACCTCTCGTAAAAGAGAGAGATATCGCTGGGCCCCTCGTGTGAGCAAGACTGTAGAAATGTGTGGCCGCACTATAGACGAACGTCGTCTATTTCAGACAGTCGAACTCAGTGAACGAGAAAGCAGTCGAATCAGATAAGGTGGCTTGTCCATGCCTTATGTTCGACATATGATATCGCGATACAAAAGGATCATCAGCCGGAATCATCACTGGCGTTCATATGATCACGAACAAACTCTATTCGAGATAGGTAGTCATAGTGTCTTGCTAGAGACCGCCTATGACTTGTATACCCGAAATAGGGACTTCGGGTTATACTGCTATGTCGAATGAGCCTACAGGGTCACACACAATAGGGATGGACAAGTACGTGTGCTAAATTATCCCGATTAGGAATCCTAATTGGATTGAGATTCCTAATTGGAATAGAAATCCTAATGGGATTAGGAATCCTATTATGTATAGGAATCCTAATGAGATTAGAATTCTATTACATCTAGGAAACCTAATGAGATTAGAATTCTAACAGGTTTAGGAAACCTAATTAGATTAGGATTCCTAGTAATCTATTCCTTGTCAAATTAGAATTTTTGGAAAGTCTATATAAGGAGAATGTCTTCTAGGGTTTGAAAAGAAGGAAAAAGAAGAAGAAAAAAAAAGAAGAAAAATAAAACCCCAAGCCTCCAAAAACCTTGCACACAAGAGAGATCAAGATCTCTAGTCCTAGCAGACAAGTTCCAAGGTGTTGGAATCCATCCCGACGTGGGGATACGTGTAGAGGGCGAGGTATTCTCCCTGCCTAGAGTGATCGGACGAACAGATCAATTGATACAGGCCCCGGATCGATTGAGGTAAACGTTCTAACGTTTCTATGATTCAATAGTACCATGGTTCTAGGGTTTCATTAAAATTTTTGTTTTATATCCGCTGCGCAAACACTAGAATCGATCTCTTAGGAATTAGATTCGCTCATGAGATCCCAGGAAACCCAACATACGGGTGTTTGTGTTAAGTTTTCGATAATCAATGCACATTCTCCATCCCGTAACGGTTCTAGTTGGTATGAGTTCGTTGTTTTCATTTGGAACGACCGTGATTCCTCACTTCTTAGGTACGACTTGTACCGGGCTAACCCAAGAGCTATCCGGAAGCGGGTAAATAATACCCGCATCTAACAATTTCAAAACCTCTTTCTTGACTACTTCTTTCATGTTTGGGTTTAGCCTACATTGATGTTCGATTGACGATTTGGTATCATCCTCTAAATGTATGCGGTGCAGATCGGA